ACTCATCGACCACCTCGAATTCGTCACCGTCAATCTGTACTCGGGGTGGTAGGCTAATATTGTCTTCCCTAGAACCTCTTCCTTTCATGTATTTTGTCTTTGATGCGTTGATGACAAGTCCAATCCGTCTAGCTTCAGCCTTCAGTCTGATGTACGTTTCCGCCATGTCAATGTCATCGGCGAAGCCAAGGAGCTGGATGGACTTCCTGAATATCGTGCCACTCGTGTCTATCCCAGCTCTTCTGATCACACCTTCTAACGCGATGTTGAACAGCAGACACGAAAGTCCATCACCCTGCCGTAACCCCCTTCGAGATTCAAAGGGACTCGAAAGTGTCCCCGATACTCGAACAACGCACATCACTCGATCCATCGTCGCCTTGACCAATCACGTCAGTTTATCCGGAAGTCCGTACTCGTGCATAATCTGCCATAGCTGATCTCGATCGATTGTGTCGTATGCAGATTTGAAATCGATGAACAAATGATGTGTGGGCACGTTGTATTCGCGGCATTTCTGCAGAACCTGCCGAATCGCGAAAATTTGGTCCGTGGTAGCGCGGGCACCCATGAATCGCGCCTGGTATTGCCCCACGAACTCTCTTGCATATGGTGACAGACGGCGGCATAGAATTTGGGAGAGTACCTTGTAGGCGGCGCTCAGCAGTGTGATCGCGCGGTAGTTGCAGCAATCCAACTTGTCGCCCTTTTTGTAGATTGGGCATACGACACCTTCCATCCACTCTTCCGGCAATATCTCCTCCTCCCAAATCTTGGAAATTACCCAGTGCAGCGCTTCACCACCGTATTTTAATAGCTCACTTGGTAGTTGATCTACACCAGTTGCTTTGTTATCCTTCAGCCGACCGATCTCCTCCTCAACTTCTTGAAGATCAGGGGCCGGTAGCCTGTCGTCTTCTGCGCGTGCTCCAAGGTCTGTTGCCGTGCCACCTTCGTTTTCTGCTGCTTCACCGTTGAGGTGCTCGTCATAGTACTGCTTCCACCTCTCAATCACGTCACACTCGTTCGTGAGAAGGTTACCGTCCAAGTCCTTGCACATATCGGCTTGCGGCACGTAGCCTTTGCGCGAACTATTTATCTTCTCGTAGAACGTTTACGCGGTATAGTTTTTCAATCGCCCCGCGATCTCGGTCTTCCTGCTGACACTTCTTCCTTCGGAAAACCGAGTTTTGTCTGTTCCGCGCTTGTCTGTATCGCTCCACATTCAATCTCGTGCGGTGTTGCAGCATTCTAGCCCGTGCTGCATTCTTCTCCTCTACTAACAGTTTGCATTCGCCGTCAAATCAGTCATTTTTTCGGTCCGGGATACCTATGGCGGAACGGATGTCCCTCCAGCCATCTTCAAGAGAAGCTGCGCCAAGCTGCTCTTCCGTGGGTAGAGCAACTTCCAGCTGCTGCGCGTAGTCCTGGGCAACTTCGGCGTCCCGTAGTTGCTCAATGTTGGGTCACGGCGTTCGACTTCGACGTGCGTTATGCACCGTTGAGAGTTTTGAGCGCATGCATACTGCAACTAGGTAGTGGTCCGAATCTATGTTCGCACTGCGGTACGTGCGGACGTTGATAATGTCGGAGAAGAATTTCCCGTCGATTAGAGCGTGATCGATTTGGTTTTCTGTGTGTTGGTCAGGTGATCTCCAGGTGGCTTTGTGGATATCCTTGCGGGGGAAAAACGTACTTCGAACTGCCATACCCCGAGAGGCTGCAAAGTTCACGCATCGTTGGCCGTTGTCGTTCGATACGGCATGCCCGATTGCCGGTCGATACATTGCCTCCCGTCCTACCTGAGCGTTCATGTCGCCGATGACGATTTTGACGTCCCGTTGCGAACAGCCGTCGTACACCTGCTCCAGCTGCGCATAGAACGCTTCTTTCTCGTCGTCGGGTCTCCCTTCGTGTGGGCAGTGCACGTTGATGATGCTGTAGTTGAAGAAACGGCCCTTAATCCTCAACTTGCACATCCTCGCGTTGATCGGCTGCCAACCAATCACGCGTTGGCGCATCTTACCCAGCACTACAAAGCCGGTTCCCAGCTCGTTGGTGGTGCCACAGCTCTGGTAGAAAGTAGCCGCTCTATGCCCGCTTTTCCATACCTTTTGTCCCATCCAGCAAAGTTCCTGCAGTGCTACGACTTCGAAGTTGCGTGGTTGAAGTTCGTCATAGATTAATCCATCGCAACCCGGGAAGCCGAGCGATTTGCAGTTCCATGTTCCGAGTTTCCAATCATAGTCCTTATTTCGTCGCGTAGGTCTGTGCCGATTGTTCCGATCCGTATTTCTTTCTTCGGTATTTGCAACTTTGTTTTTTTTTCAGGGCGGCTTGTTGGGCCTGCCCCAACCCCCTGTCTCGCCGGGGGACCATCGTGCACAGCTCTGTTTAGAGTCCCACGCTGGCACTAGGACGGTGATCAGCCGCTCCTAACATGGAGAACAGACGCCGTTTTAAGCCGCACCTCCATGGTGAACAGACGCTCAGGTTTGGTGAAGCATTTCCTCTATCACCGTACTATGGTTACCGAGCCAGTGTTCGCGTCACACCTCTTCACTTTGCTATTGCCGGCCTGGCAACATTGCCCAGGCTACGCCCACCCAGCTGTGTCCATGTTTTAGCTGGTAGTCTTTTGTTATCATATGACTCGAGGAGGCGTGAAGTAGGAACTTGTGAGGACCAGGGCTAGGTATTCCGCTCCTTCCAGGTTGTCAACTCACCATTTTGTAGCTCTTCTTATAATCAGGAAATACCAATAATATTTTTAAATTGAATAAAATAACAATCAAGTATGATATAAATCATCGCATTTAGAATGTTTTCATTCTAATAAGTTGTTAAAATAATTAATTTATGAAAATCTCAACATACAGCACATACTATGGTTTTTTTTACAGTGAATTTAAATGAATTCTATATTTTTAGGGAAGTACTCAGTTTGAAAAATCACCCAAACGACGGGTAAGACAACGAGATATCGTTTTCAAATGTTCTAAAAAAATGTTTCTCAACAATGTCGTAACATGCTTTAGTTAGGCAGTATACAACCGAAATCGGGACAACATACCAAAATTCATAAAGAGGGCGGTACCAAAAAATTAGGACGTGTTAAGGTATAAGTTTGTTCGAGACTTTTACTCAGGGATCCACAAGAAAGTCAAATATACCCCCCTATTCTGTATTTCGTTTCGAACGAAATTCTCATACAAAAAAAAAATTTTTGTATGAGAATTTCGATCGAAACGAAATACAGAATAGGGGTGATAGTCAACTTTCTCAGTCCTAGAAAAAAAAGTTCAGATTTGTTGCACAGTGTAGCTCATGAAAGTGACTGTAACCTGAAAATCTAGTCCAGTCCAAGGGTATTGACTTTTTTTCATGGTCCAAAATCTATTTTTTTTTTTCGTAGAGAGGGCGAAACATATTTCAGTACTAACATTTGAAAACGGCGCAAAAGCCATTTATAAACAAATGGTTTGTGGGCCCTTTACTCGCTACCCGAAGAACGCCCACGCAAACCAACAGCATCGTCAGGAAGGGGAAAATTTCCCCTACCCGATGTTGCTGTTGTGTCGCGTGGGTGTACTTCAAGTAGTGAGTAAAGGGCCCACAAACCATTTGTTTACAAATGGCTTTTGTGCCGTTTTCAAATGTTAGCACTGATTTTTCCACGATTTGTCACGGTGACTTCGAATTCCTGGTTTACTGGTCACCCTAATGTGATCATCGATCATTTTCGTGTATTTTGAAAACTTCTATCAATTTAATCTTCTTCTTTTCTTTTGGCTTTTACGTCCCTAGTGGGACTTTAAGCCGGATCTCACTTGAGACAGCTCTTAATTGAGAGATTTTCAAACCGGTACCATTTTTGCATTAGTATAATTGTGTGGCAAGTACAATCATACCAACCGGTGGAAACTAACGATTTTAAATTGGCTCACACTGGACTAGCCTATTGGTCCCAAGCAAATCGATTAACGGACCCTATTCTAGTCGAAATTCTAGCACTATACTATGTTTGTGTTGATTCGCTATGAAAGTTTGACAGATAAAATGAGGGATTCGTGGATTTTCCCATGTTTCGAGGGGTGCATCGATTAGCTTGGGACCGAAGATAGTACCAGAGCTGAGCCAAAAAGTTGATCATACCATAGAGGTAACTCTAAGACCAGAAGGTCCCGAAGAAACGTGCTCAACTTTTTAGCTTAGCTGTGGTACTATCTTCGGTCCGAAGCTAACGGATGCACCCCTCGAAACATAGGAAAATCCACGAACCCCTCATTTTACCTGTCAAACTTTCATAGCGGATCAAAACAAACAAAGTGTAGTACTGGAATTTATACTAGAATGGGGTACGTTAATCGCTTTGTTTGGGACCAATAGGCTAGTCAAGTAGTGAGCCAATTTAAAATCGTTAGTTTCCACCGGTTGATCATACTCTATGCCCAGGGAAGTCGAGAAATTCCTAGACCGGACCGGGAATCGAACCCAGCCGCCTCCAGCATGGCCTTGCTTTGTAGCTGCACCTTTACCGACTGAGCTAAGGGAGGCCCAGCCGATTGGATCTTTGTTAAAATGTGCAAAAATCAAGTTGTATGGTGTCCTTATCTCTATGTACGAAGGACAAAATCACATTTCCATTTCTTTATCCTACGTACATGATGTAATTAGTTCTTTCTTAGGCTCATATTGTAGCTTTTCTAAACACACACGATTTGGAATTCCTCTGATTCTTTGAATAGGAAGAAGCCATGCTTCTTAAAGTGTCCCTATACTAATTTCCACCAGTGTATTTTAGATATTTAAATTCAGTGCATTATGCTTGCGCTGCCTTGCATGTCTCATCAGCATTATCCTCCGCACAACACTAACCGCGGTGCAGCACACATTTTATGCCGACACTGCACTTCTTCGCAATCAATATTGACTTTCAATGAAACATAAACAAAACAATTGAGTAGATATTTGGGAAAGAGAATACAATCGACACCTACCTGGGACCGGAGTGGTGTTCCCGGATCTGTGGCGGCGGTGGTGGCTGTTGCTGTTGCTGCGGCATCGTGCCCGGCTGGGGAACGTTCGGCGGTGGAACGCTCGTCAGATGGGTCAGATGCGGTGGAGGAACCTGATGCGCCGTCGGTGGCGGCGGATGGGCCATATGGGGATGAGCCTGCTGCTGCTGGGGCTGGGGTGGATGTCCGTGAATCATCCTACTAAACCCAGCGGCTAGCGGTGGTCGGCGATTCGAGATCACTGTTCTGCTTTCACTGATCACTGTTGTTCTCACTTCGGGCTTTGCACTCTTTTCCCTTGACTTATGCTAATCACTTTATTCTTCGACTTGCACAATTGCAACAGTAATTGTTCCACAAAACACTGAAATGGAAAGAAAGATTTAAATTTAGATATAGGTAATTATCGAAATATGTCGCCTTGGTCTACTTGCAACCCTATCGTTGGATTTGCCTGCAAAACATCTGTCAGTCTGTACAGACACAAACTCGAGCCAGTTAGCCCATCATCGTTCCTTTTCCCCTTCAATTAAAGGTATTTTGCTTTCTTCCCTTCCCAGACGATCACGCAAGTGATGATTATTTTCGTTCGAGGTGGTTATTCTAACAAGATAAACAGAACCATGACCGATGGAAGAGATCCGCCATGATGATGACGATGATTGGGATGATGACGACAGGCGACAGCCGACTCAAAGATGATGGTCAACTCAACCCGAGGACAAAGCCCTCGGGGTTGTTCCTCAGTGTGAGCCATTTTGCGTCGTTCTGGAATGCGTTGAACATTCCAGACGAAATCAATGAGCAACCAGACGGCGACGCTCAGGTGACCAACCAAAATTAGAGCCTATGCCTATGTCTTCTTCAAACAACACCATATGGGACAGCAGGAAAATTTCCCCGGACTTACCTTTTCCACGACCAAGCTTCTTAAACGCCTTTTCCGTATCACACACTTTTAAAACATTACAATAGTTACACTAATTACAAACTCCTCTATTCCATTTCTTGGTTTTAATCCAGCATTGGAAGCAAATAAAACAGGAGAATCGTCGGCAAACAGTAAAGAAATTTTTCTATCTAAAAAATACACGGATTGGTGACGGTTCCGTTGCTGGCGTTTTTTCGCTAAGCACTAAAATAAAATTACCTAAACATGACGACCGGACAAGCAAAGACAGACAGACGAACGATGAAGACGATGTCGACGGGAGAAATTCCGCATCCATCTCTGCGAGAAAATACATGAGCGAGAGCGAGATCGAACCAGCAAATACAACGGGATTTTTGCGGCCCTTTAGCGTGCGGTGGAAAGAGAAAGTCATATATGGTGAGTTTGACAACAATGACAACTGCGGGCAGCTGATCCACGGATCAATGAGGTAAGGCCCAGAGAATTTGTCATCTCTTTTGTTCCTCCGCTGTTTCAATGGTTGACGGAGTTTGACGTCACACTCCGACACCGTTTAAACAGCGGAGGAACAAAAGTGACGACAAATTCTCTGGGTGTCACATGTTTACACTCATTGCGTCGGACCGTGGCTTCGGAAAAAAAATCCTTCACAGGGTGGTATCTACAAAATAATAACGCACAACACCGTTTTGATGCACAAATTCGAGCAGTTTCGCTCCCGAGTAAAAACGGTTAACTCTTTGGGCGCCAAACCATTTTTTTTATTTGATATCAAGATATACCCCTCGTGGCGAACATAAGAAGTACTGAAATGTTTCAAAATCCTTTTAACGCGATGTATGGGAGAGAATTAAAATGCTTGTATTTTAATACCTAATTATTTGAATACACAGCAAAAAAAGTTGTTGAATATTACATCGAAACTGCTGCAACCAGGTCAATCCATCGGTTGTGTAATATCACATTGTACGATGTACATCGATTTTGTGAACAAAATTACATCCATTGATGTAATATTGTATCTGCTTTTTGCTATTACATCATTATTTCATACATCAGCTTGAATTACGTTGATCGATATTACATTTTTTTTTGCTGTGTAGGTCGAAAAACGATCAAATGCAGAATTTCATAATTTTTCACGAGGAGAGGAGTTTTAAAACGGGGCTGCTAAATGGGTGAGCCAAATAGAAACTACACCGTGAGCCGAGGGGGACGACTCTATCTACGATGTTGTATTTTGCTGAGTAGATTTCCTGCGCGATGCAAGTAGATGCAAGAAATAATTTTTTTTCGAATATTGATTCGCTAGTGAGATTTTTTGAACATCTAGAAATGGGATTTAGATGTATCTGGATTATTCCTAGCTTTACATGATACAGCTAATATTGAAGCAGCATATGGTAAATCATATTTATCGAGATGTTAATAATGGTTGATTTTTACGAATTGACCACTTCATTCGAGCAGTTAAAATGACGTTTACTACCACTCGAACGTTGAAATAAAACATTATTTTAAGATTTTTTCTTCTAGAACCACGAGAAAAGTACCCAACATTTGTGCGTTTCATAAAAAAATAGAAATTAGTTGGTTCAGTTTTGTGAAATGGCTGGTAGAAAGTCACGTCAAAACTGCTTGACAAAGTGGTCAATTTGTCACGGTAATGGGGCTTCTTTTTTCTTTGCTTGTTTATTTATTCATGACGAATCCCGATAGGAATCGATGGGATTCCAAACATGGATAAAGAGAGAGAGAGAGAGAGAGAGAGAAAGAGAGAAGGATTAGTAATTTCCATTTAATTCCATTACCTTATTTGCTTATCTGCACATTGTAGACGAAATACGCGTATCTGTCAAGGACGACACCCACATTCATCAGGATACACACACGAATCCCAATGCAGAATCCTCAGACAGATCCCGATGGGGAATACGGTGATGGACCCCGATGACGGATCCCAATGGGGAAACCGATGGCATATCCCGATGGGGAATTCGATAACGGATCCCGATGGAGAATACGATGACGGATCCCGATGGTGAATCAGAAGACAAATTCCGATGGGGAATCCGAAGAAGGACTTCGATGGGGAATCAGATGACGAATCCCGATGGGGAATCCGATGACGGATCGTGATGGGAATCCGAACACGGATGCTGATAGGGAGTAAGAGCAAGGATTTTGAAGGGGAATCCGAAGACGGATCTTGATGGGGAATTCGAAGATGGATCCCGATGAGCAATCCGAAGACTGGTCTCGATTGAACATCCGAAGACGGATCCCAATGGGGATTCCGAAGACGGATCCCGATGGGGAATCCAACAACGGATCTTAATGAAGAATCCGAAGAAGTTGTATTTATTTCCTTACCGCAGTACGCTCTCGTTTGCAACATAGGATTTCCTTAATAAAATGTGTATGGTTATTTTCCTTAACGACGTATTAGGGGTATCATCCCAACCATTTATGGAATAGTTCTACCAGTTTAGCTTAGTCGCAGGAGTCAAGTGCATCCTGGACGTATGCTTACATATGAAATTATTCTGGAAGGATTGCGTTGGTCCAGAAATGCATCACATGACCTTGAAGGAGAACGACGGATAAGTTTAGATTAGGAGCACTTTCAGTCTCTTTCGTTCTTATCAACATTACGTTAGGACGATCTTAGCAGCAGACAAATCTTTCTAGGATCAAACCCTTATAAATATAAGGTAAATTTTCTACTTAATAAACGAATGTTTCCGTCAGTTTGTCGATCTTTCAAGATCTGCATTCCTTCCAGCCAGTACCTTCATCAGGTTTAAACTTACATAACTGTTGAGACTGTTAAAATCTATTTAGTGAGGAGTTCAGACCTCAGTCTAAAATCGAAATCAAAAACCTAAGGCTAAAGGCACTCCTTTTCGGTCTATTAAATTCTGAACTACGCCATTGTAACGTAACAGAGAGACTGTTAGAGAGATTTAGTAGAGTAACTGTCTTAGCGTCTTGAACAGCTTTTGATAGAATCAAGAAAAAAGCACTCGCTCCAGGGCACTCGGGACGACAGGGCAACCGCACATCACCCCAAACCGTTCGGCGTGGTAGGTGAAACTTCATGTGATCGAACAACCTCGGGACAGCTTGTTTAAACTCCTCTGCCATCCGTGCCGAACACGCCCTGAGATTCGCGTGATATGTTTGAAGTATAAATAACTAGACTTTTTCTCAAACAGACTCAAAATCTCCAGGTTGTTAATAATGCAGCATTGATTCATTAATTTAAATAATTTCTAACAAAATTCTCATATAGTCAATCGTGCCAGCTACAATCAGCAAAATTGCTTGTATTTTTCTCTGAAATAGCTCCACCTGCGTTTTAGAGTACACCGTCATCTGCAGCAGCTACCTGAACCAATGTGAAATTTGCAACTGTACCGGTATGACAGATGGATGTAAACTGAAAATGTTAAGATTATCTGCATGAGGTAATCGAAATGACAGCTAGAATTTTGAAGCTACCTTTCAATTTGATACTGCCAAAATCCTAGATAGAATAAGCTTCCCAACACGAGATACACCACCGGTAGTAGCATAACGCCAACGATGATCACGCTCAAAGCGAATTTCACGACAGCCGGCAGCGGCGTAGGACTCAACACATCCAACCAAACGAACAGAATGTCCTGCAGGAACGGCTTCATAATGAAAAGGATTTTCTGATACCATCGTCCGTGATGCCACTGGGAAAAGATACAAAATTTATTTACTGTGCAAATTATGCCGACTAGCATCCCTTTCGGTCTTACCATCACGAATAAATTTTTTCGAGCACTTTGCCAAATGGGCATCCCTAGTCAACTTTTTTTTTTGCCAAGATGCGGTTGTTTACAAGCAAAGCTCCAAACTGTCAAGGACGGGCCGGTGTTATTTATTTTTATCTGTTTCACGTCCTCTATGACGGCGAACATTAGGAGCGAGTTTTTCGCTGAAGTTACGTGGCAATTGAGATGCTGGGTGTTCGATTAGGACTGGGAAGACGATGCTGGACCAGTATTTCCTGTCTGCGAAGAAATCTGACGTCGCAGAGCGGGGTGGCGCCTACTGCGCAGCGGGAATGGAAAACAGGTAGGATTGTCCTAGGCACGACCGGAACTTTGCTTCTGGGAGCGATCGGGTACGATGGTGTGGTGAACGAACTGGAAAATGTGCAGAGTGCGCAGCGGTTCCTTCGATCCCTGGCGATTGGGGTCTGCATATCGGCCGATTATACCTGGAGTCTTTGGGGACTGTCTGATGAGGATCCGAAATACGAGCTGATCATGTCTCAGGTTCACCAAAGAGCGGCCGATAGGATATTGAACGGATGTTTAGTTAATGGAGGTCTGTATATAAAGATGGGCCAAGGAGTGGCGGCTATGAACCACATCATTCCCAAGGAGTACGTGCGGACGTTGAAGAAACTGGAGGACAAGTGTCTGCCGCGGAAAGCAGGGGAGGTGAGGAAGCTGTTCGTGGAGGATTTCGGGAAGACACCGGAAGAAGTATTCCAAACGTTCGAGTATGAACCTATAGCTGCAGCGAGTTTGGCTCAGGTTTTCCTAGGAACGACCAAGGAAGGCCGGAAGGTCGCCATCAAGGTTCAGTACGCGGATTTGAGGAAACGGTTCGACGGCGATTTGAGAACGATTCTCTTCCTGCAAGACATGCTTGCGCTGATGCACAAAAACTACAACTTTGGATGGATCATTCGGGATCTTCAGGGAACCCTGCGGGAAGAGCTGGACTTTACCCATGAGGGAAGAAATTCGGAACGATGTGCCGAGGATTTGAAGAAGCATGACTCCATCTACGTTCCCAAAGTCCTGTGGGAATACACCAATAAGGTATGGATTGGTATTGATGTAATTTTTCACCGATATTGGAAAATCTCACTACCAACAATTTCAGCGTGTCCTAACGGCGGAATTCATCGATGGATGCAAAATTAACGATTCCGAGGGCTTGAAAAACCTCAAAGTCAATCTGGCCAAGCTGGACGTCAACCTATTCCGAGCCTTCGCCGATCAAATCTTCCGAACCGGTTTCGTCCACGCCGATCCACATCCGGGAAATGTCTTCGTTAGGCGAGACCCAACCTCGGGGCGACCACAGCTCGTTCTACTGGATCACGGCCTCTACGGGAAACTTACTCCGGAGGTTCGTGCTAACCTGTGCCGCTTTTGGGAAGCTATCGTTCTGAAAGACCACGCAGAAATGGCCAAAATCGCCCGGGCTTTGAACGTCCAAGACTACCGGACCTTTGCGGAGATTTTGCTGCAACGCCCGCTGGAGCTCAAGGGATCCAAACTGACCACCCGCCTGTCGGAAGACGACCTGGACTACATGACACGCCAGGCCAAGGAACATTTTGACAAGGTGATGCAAACGTTGAGGAGTATGCCTCGGAATCTGATTTTCGTGCTGAGAAATTTGAACACGATCCGGGCGATTGCCCGGGAGCACGGCGATCCGGTGGATCGGCCGAAGGTGATGGCACGCTGTGCCATCGCCGCGTTGAGACAGACCAACCGCGGTATTACGGGCTTTTTCCGGTCGATTTTCCGGAGGATCAACTTCGAGTATCAACTGTGGTAAGCGAAGAACTGTTGCTGGGGGATTGTATTCTAAACAAAGATTTTTGATCATATTTCAGGAAATGTTCATTCCAATTTTGGCTAGTGAGTTCCTATCTAAAGCTGTTGACCCGCCTTGGTCGCTCGCCGGATACGTCGCATCTACTGGATGTGCAGGTGGAGGTGTAAATAGTAGATAACGCTCTTAAAGTATTGAGATTGACTACAGTGGAAAACCTGTAGTAACGTGTTATTTTAGAAAGTAACTGAAAGTTTTACTAAGTAGATATTTATTTAAAAAAAAAGACAAATGTATGTATTTTTTATATTAAACTTCAGAGTTGTCCTACAACATAATATCAATCATTAACTTAACTCTGCTGGAAGTGTTTAGCCCTTCCCTTGCAAGCTCTCGAGCTCCACTATCAGAACTTCAACATTTCACCCAGAAATACTCTTAAATTTTTGAAGAAAACTTCTACAGAATCATCGCTTTCTCACAGATTAGTTGGAAAAGAGTTTGCGAAGTAAATGGGAGAACCACACACTCTTTGTCGAGTGTTGTGAGATGCATACACGGCGAATGAGAACGACCCAAATTTGAGTTTAGTTCACTCATAATCGCCATAAGTGCAGGAACTCAGCGATGAGTAAAATTTGTCTCATGTTTTCCCAGGATTGGATGATTGGAGTTGTTTGTTAGAGCAAGATGCCGATAGCGGGGGATGCAATTGATGAGAGCATGAGAACAATTTTCGTTGTTTCACGAATATCTAACTTCGTTAGATTTACGTGATTTCCGGTGCCGAAGATTACGATAATGCGTTTAATCTGAGGATCCCCAAGAATCTATCGATCACTTTGGACTGATCATTGGAAGAGGCAGGAGTGGTCCACCCGTAATCTCGCGCCGTGGTGTGTTTAGTAATGTAGAAGTGACATGAGGTTCTTTCTAACTAGTGAAACTTAAGAATCCTTTAGTTATTTCGATAGGCATTATTCGTTCCGAGCAGTGTGAAGCGTGTGTAGTGATTTTGGAGGAAGAAGGTAAAACTGGTGACAATTTCTGGTTTGTGCGATAGAGGCTTAACACGTGCTTGTGCAACGGTTTTTCTTTATACAGATTCGTGGCGAAGGTTGTGCACGCCCGACACACCACTCATTCAGCTAGTGACCATTTCTGGCCCCACCATCGGTTTTGAAGGTAACCCGGGGTACGCCGGAAGAGGTCCGCGACCGTTAGAAACGCGCCCTAGGCAGGGCGAAACGGCCACATTAGGAACAAAACCCGCAATCATCTTTTTGGGGACGACCAAAGCGCGATCAGCGATCGTAGGAACCTAATCCCGCAAGGTCTCATACGGTCGGACAACCTCAAAATTGGTAAATGGTCTCCCTCGGGAGTGGCGCTTAAGCCATTTTACTTTCAACGGAAAGCTCGTCAGGCTGACGGGTTACACAGTTCACGATAGGGGCTTCACCGTTGCATTCGCCCCCTCACCCTTCTGCAACTTCAGACGAACTTCTATCGGAGTACTAATCGGTTTACATTCTTGCATCGCCTCAAAAGTTCAGTAACTATCGCTGACTAATCCTCATCAGTCCAGATTCCACGTTGCGGTCGATTTTCGTCCCAAGGAATGATTTAACTTCACCTGCATCGGACATTTCAAACTCCCGATATAGGCACTGCTTGACAGCTTCAACCGCATTCAACGAATCACCCGCGAGCATAACGTCGTCCACATACAATACCAAGATCACCCTGTCTGTTCCAATCTTTCGTGTGTACGAGCACTGATCATTGGCACTCCGCTTGAAACCCAAACGATCTTCAACAAAACGGTGGAAACGATCGTTCCACTCCACGCACGTGAGGCTTGTTTCAGCCCGTATAGCGACTTCTCCAAACGGCACGCTAAATCAATTCCTTTCACAAAGCCTTCCAGTTGAACTATGAAAATTTCTTCAGTTGGGCTTCCGTTCAGGAAAGCCGTTTTCACGTCCATCTGGTGAACCACCATCCTCTCTTGACAAACCAACGCCAGTACAGTGCACAAAGTGTCCATTTTTGCAACCGGAGAGTAGATCTCGGTGTAGTCAAAGCCGTATTTATGCGAGTATTTATGACTAAATCCTATCGCTACTGTAGCGATCAGGTAAAACGGTAAAGCTTGGTAAAGCTGTCATACTCTTCATCCGTATCTGCTTCGGTGGGTTCTTCAACTATTCGCTTCTTTTTCAGCATCACTGCAGACTGACTCGTCATCACCCGAAAAAAAATAACAACAAAAATACATTAAAAAACAATGTAACAATAAGACGAAAATTATTGTCTTAACAATGATTTATATTGTTACGTCTACAATAAATTAACCTTGATTTATGTTGTACAAAACAATAAATTTCATGGTAAATGGAAAATTTACAATAAAAAAGGGGGGTTGTTAAGTATCTTAACAATGAAATTTTCGTGATTTTCCCATATAATTTTTTTTCAATAACATTATATATTATTGTTATTTTACTGTTGGTTGGTGAATTTATTGATTAAAAAAAATAACAGTGTACTTTAGAGTGTATGTGTTGGCTTGACAGATCTACTTTATCGACTTTAAAAATAAATCGAAAAAATAAAACATTGCCGCGGGAAGGGAAGGGGTGGTATGTCTGTTACGGGTGGTCCTTTTTTTTACTGGATATGGATCGAGATTCGATCCGGAACTTTTGAGAAATGCAGGCCAACTCCCCTGCGCTCGATATCTCTAGGTCACGTCTCCTTGGTGGTTGAGCGTCGTTGATAAGTTAATGCATTCGACTGGAGAGAATCGCCCATGAAATATGCTTCCACCTGAGGGTTCCTTCCTGACATCTTCAAGTGGTGGAATTTTTTATTATTATTGTATGATTATTGACTGCACGGAAAAGGTCTCCATTAAGCTTTAGAGAGGGTCTAGGATAAGAGATGAGCGGACGCGGACTGGCTGGTTTTGAGCCAAACGAACTGTCAAAGCAAGAGCCATACGAGCAGCGCCTATCTTGATTACATGGGCAGTGTTGCTGACCCTCTCATAGTATCATGCTTCAATCAGATTTATTTTTATTGTTCGTGAAGTAACCCACAATGAAAATACACCAATATTTAATGTAACAACAATTTTTATTGTAATAGAGTTGTTCATTATTGTCCATGATCGAATCATGTTAACAATAAAATAAATTAAAAATACGATAAAAATCATTGTAACAACATTTTATTATGTAAATTCATTGTACAGCTAGGTAGCAGTTTTGCCGTTTTCGGAAGAGTACAACATTATAACAATCATTTTTATTGTCGACAATAAATATTAATGTTAGAGCATTGTTTCCACTGAAAATTTCACTGTAATTTTTTTTTCGGGCAGCCACATCGTGCAAGAACGAGTCCTCGAGCATCGTTCGAACCTTTTCAACAAGAGTACGGTTCAACGGTTCAACCTCCCACTGACTCCGTTTTGTTCTGGAGGTTGAGGAACCGGCCGCTCTACTCCGATGCCCTTCTTCTTACAAAACACGTCGGAATTCCGGCTACGATACTCGCCGCAGTTGTCGCAGCGAAGACGCGATATTTGCTGGCCGAACTTAGCTATCGCCTACGCTTCATAGTTCTTGAAACACTCAAGCACTTTGTCCTTACTTTCGATCAGGTATACCACCGTAAAATGACTTCAGTAATCGACGAACGTCGCAAAGTACTTCACGTTATCAAGGCTAATCGATGTCACGGGACCGCACACATCTGAGTGTATCAATTCAAGCACACGCGACGAACGTTTCTCGGAGGAGTCGAGTTTCGAACGCCTTTGGATACGGTTGCGTGTTAAGTTTGTTCTCTGTTTTGTGCGTGCATTCGCTTTCATAGTTTTCGGCTGCATTTGCCGGATTAGCGCTGGCACTCTGCCTCCCGGACGGTTATACGTGTGTGAGTGGTGGTTTTCTCGCTTTCCGAGAAGTTTTAGAATCGAGAAAGAAAACATGATTCATCATGTTTGCAAAATTACAAGCATCAGAAGATTTGGCGCTGTGTGGTTTGATTGTTTCTCCCGGACCAGAAATTTGTGGCATCGCGAGTGAAAATTTTAATTTCAGTTTATTTACGCGGTGATGAGAACGGCGCTGATCTATTGTTAGGGTTTTGCGATGTGCACGGAGTGACTTGAAAAAGAAAAGTGATATTTGGTTGTTGTGTGGTTGGAGTGGAGGGAAAAAAAATATGCGTGGAAGCATAGGGAATGCGCTCCCGGGTGAAGTGATTTGGTGAGTACGTTCCAGTTGAAGATTGTTGACAAGTGTATTTGTGGTGATGCAAATTCCAGAACAACATGTGAAAAGGGCATACAAGCTTTTTGTAAACAAACCTTCTTATGCCCTTTTCTCGCCACCCATATGACACCAACGCAAACCTTTAACATCACCGGGTAGGGGACACTTTCCCCTTCCCGATGATATTGCTGGTTTGCGTGAGCGACCCTCGATTGGTGAGAAAAGGGCCTACAAAGGTTTGTTTACAAAAAGCTTGTATGCCCTTTTCACATGTTGTTCTGGAATTATGGTTTAGATTAAAGAGCCTGCATTTATAGACCTTTTTGACGTTTGATAGTCTTTCTCTATCCAGCACACATGAATGAATGAACGGTTTGTTTTCCCACTAATCTGTTTCCCTCTTGCTTGCACTCGTTCGATTTAAATGGTGCAGTAGTGTGCGCCGATTAAACGTCAAAAAGCTCTATAAAGAGGCGACATCTTATCCATTTGACAGGTCTTCTGCTCGATTGGAATGACTTTTCCTTTGACTTTGACAGACAATCGATTGTTCCAATTTTGACATGTCGTCTCTTTATAAATTCAGGCTCTTTAGTTTAGATGACGCATGGCTTCAAACATTTTGTGTATCCAAATAAAACATATTACATACTAAATACGTACAGGGCATCGTCTGCTGACCATTGCCGCGTGTATATCGTGGGAGTCCCAGGTACCCGGTTCAAGCTTTAGTTGGCGGCGGTGGCTCTTCTTGACCTTCTACCCCCTGAGTAGTTAGTGTGAATAAGGGCATCTATGTGATGTTTTGCTGTACCTGTTGTGGACATTTAGTGCATCCTGTTCCCTTAACTTGTTGAGGACACCCTGTCTTGCCTCAAAAGTTACCCTTTTTGAAGTACTAGTCTT